CCGGCCCCCTTCCCCCTTCTCCCTATAAATAGAGGGGTGAGGGGAGGGCTGCAGCACCACATCCAAGGTGCAGCCCCTCCCCTCCCCAACACCTCTCCCCCTCCACGCGAGCTTGGCGAAGCCCTGCCGGAGAACTGCCACTCCACCACCACCATGCTGTCGTGCTGCTGTTGGTGCCATCTTCCTCAACCTCTCCCTCCTCCTTGCTGGATCAAGGTGCGGGAGACGTCACCGGGCTGCACGTGTGTTGAACGCGGAGGTGCCGTTGTTCGGCGCTAAGATCGGAATCCACCGTGATCTGAATTGCTTCGAGTATGACTCCTTCATCCGCGTTCTTGCAACACTTCCGTCTCGCGATCTTCAAGGGTATGAAGATGCACTCCCCTCTCTCTCGTTGCTAGTTACTCCATAGATTGATCTTGGTGATGCGTAGAATTTTTTTAATTTCTACAACGATCCCCAACACCCGTCTACCGCCACCATGTGGCCACTATTCAGACCACCCGCATCGGTGGTTGCAATGGTCAGTGACGCGATCGATGAGGTCAACTGGACCTAGAAACATGACCTTGTCCGTGCTACCTTTATTGCGCCGGATGCGGAGGCCATATTGAACATTCCACTACGTCGGGGCGGTGGAGATGATTTCTTTGCGTGGGCACACGAGAGGTCCGGTATCTACTCTGTTAAATCAGCCCATCAAGCTCTAATGAACCAAAAAGAGCGTTTAGCTCTTGAAGAGGGGCAGATAGCGACGCCATCAATGAGTGAACAGCAGATGTGGAGCCAACTATGGAAACTCAAAGTTGTCCCAAAAGTAAGGGTATTTTGTGGTGAGTACTTAAGGGGATCATCCCCGATGAGTGCACTCTCCACCACAGACATATCAAAGATACCAGCTTATGCAAATTGTGTCTTGCTATGGACGAAGACTTGATGCATGCATTAGTGCATTGTTCCCATGCATGAAGCTTCTGGGAGGAGGCAAGATTACTATTCGAGATCAGCTTGCCTTGGCTCCACCCCAATACTTGGGCGCGCGACATCCTCTGTGAATCACGATTTACTGACAAGGATCGTGCTACGATCATCACAGTCATGTGGGCAATCTGGATGTCCCACAACAGAAGGACGCATGACCAAGAAGCCATTGGTCTTGCTAGCTCGGTTCGTCGCATCCGCGAAGACCTAGCACTGCTTGACATACCCCGTCAGAGTTTCATACCATTACCGGGTCATGGATGGCGACCCCCCGAAGATTCTCTTATCAAAATTAACACAGATGCGGCAATACAGTTTGATGTTGGCTCGGCCGGATTGGGGGGTGTTGCTCGTTCCTCCTCGACCTTCCTGGGTGCATGGTGCAAACCCCAATCGAGGACTACGGATCCATTCATTGCTGAGGTGCTCGCGCTACGCGAAGGAGTCATCTTTGCCAAGCTTCGAGGCTTTTTGCACGTGCAACTAGAATCCGACTGTCTTGAGGCAGTAAACCTCTGGAACCTTGGCTACATCGATCGGTCGATAGTAGCACCAATAGTTGCTGAAATTAGAGAGCTCTCTGCTAGCTTTTTGTATTTCAATATTTCTCATGTAATAAGAGCCGTTAACGGTCATGCACACTTGTGTGCTAAGCGTACCTATACGCTTACTGTGACTGAAAGCTGGCTGGACACCACCCCTAACTTCCTGGTCAGCAGCCTCCTGACTGATTGCCCAGCGAATGCCTTTACTTAATAAAGCTCTCTGAAGTTCCCCGGAAAAAATACCTCGTCACCCCTCACAATTTTGGATTTTTAACGTAACGTGGGTCAACAAAGAAAAACAGACAAAAAAAACAACCAAGGGCCATAAACAAATACTCCTACTTAGATGGGACATATTATCTCATATCTAGGTGAGACATACACACATTCTAGAATAAAACGTTCTCGCGGAACGTTCTGTTCGTTTGGCGTACCTACACAGCTGTCGTTCCCAGTTATTGGGGTCTAAAGTATATTGATTCTTTCCTAATATATTTTTTGCCGAGATTCTTTCCTAATAAAAAATACTTTTTCTTTAAGTATACTCCGTACTACGTACGTGTTTGGCTCTATCTACAAATACAACGTACTTATTTGACCTCCTATGCGGCGCCCCTCGCATCAAACGGACCAGAGGCATGCAGCCAGATCGAACGGTCACCGCGCCGCACGGTAAGACAGCGGTTGGTGCGTGTGCTCGATATATTTCCCGAAGAATAATATCAGAAACGAATTATTTCTGAATTTCTTTTCTTTTTCTGTTTTTCGGTAGTTAGTTGAGATAATATCGGAAACGAATTACAATCCTCTCGTAACTCGTCTATATTCACTCGTCAAATCCCAGCCTTTGCCAGCACTCGCGTCCAAGTTCCAATCCCAATTGCGTGCGCAGCGATGGCGGTCGGGGAGCCGCAGCAGGGCCGGCGGTACTGGTGGTGGAGCAAAGCCAATTTTTTCCCAGAGCCCTCGTTCCAGACCTGGCGCGCGTATGAATCGCTTCGAGTACGACTCCTTCATCCTTGTTCTTGCAACGCTTCCGTCTCGCAATCTTCAAGGGTATGAAGATGCACTCCCCTCTCTCTCGTTGCTAGTTACTCCATAGATTGATCTTGGTGATGCGTAGAAATTTTTTAATTTCTACAACGATCCCCAACAGTGGCATCATGAGCTAGGTCTATGCGTAGTTTCTATGCACGAGTAGAACACAAGTTTGTTGTGGGTGTCGATTTTGTCAATTTACTTGCCACTACTAGTCTTATCTTGTTTCGGCGGCATCGTGGGATGAAGCGGCCCGGACCGATCTTACACGTACTCTTACGTGAGAGAGGTTCCACCGACTGACATGCACTAGTTGCATAAGGTGGCTAGCGGGTGTCTATCTCTCCCACTTTACTCGGCTCAGATTCGATGAAAAGGGTCCTTCTGAAGGGTAAATAGCATTTGGCATATCACGTTGTGGTTTTTTGCGTAGGTGAGAAACGTTCTTGCTACAAACCTATAGCAGCCACATAAAAAAAACTTGCAACAACAATTAGAGGACGTCTAACTTGTTTTTGCAGCATATGCCGTGTGATGTGATATGGCCATAAAGGATGTGATGAATGAAACATATGTGATGTATGAGATTGATCATGTTCTTGTAATAGGAATCACGACTTGCATGTTGATGAGTATGAAAACCGGCAGGAGCCATAGGAGTTGTTTTTATTTATTATATGACCTGCGTGTCATTGAATAACGCCATGTAATCACTTTACTTCATTGCTAAACCGTTAGCCATAGTAGTAGAAGTAATAGTTGGCGAGACAACTTCATGGAGACACGATGATGGAGATCATGATGATGGAGATCATGGTGTCATGCCGGTGACGATGATGATCATGACGCCCCGAAGATGGAGATCAAAAGGAGCAAAATGATATTGGCCATATCATGTCACTATTTGATTGCATGTGATATTTATCATGTTTTTGTATCTTATTTGCTTAGAACGACGGTAGCATAAATAAGATGATCCCTCATAATAATTTCAAGAAAGTGTTCCCCCTAACTGTGCACCATTGCAAAAGTTCATTGTTTCGAAGCACCACATGATGATCGGGTGTGATAGATTCTAACGTTCACATACAACGGGTGTAAGCCAGATTTACACATGCAAAACACTTAGGTTTGCTTGACGAACCTAGCATGTACAGACATGGCCTCGGAACACAAGAGACCAAAAGGTCAAACATGAGTCGTATAGAAGATACGATCAACATGAAGATGTTCACCGATGATGACTAGTCTGTCTCACATGATGATCGGACACGGCCTAGTTGACTCGGATCATGTATCACTTAGATGACTAGAGGGATGTCTATCTGAGTGGGAGTTCATTAAATAATTTGATTAGATGAACTTAATTATCATGAGCTTAGTCCGAAACTTTTGCAATATGTCTTGTAGTTCAAATGGCCCACACTAATGTTGCCCTCAACTTCAACGCGTTCCTAGAGAAAACCAAGCTGAAAGACGATGGTAGCAACTATACGGACTGGGTACGGAACTTGAGGATCATCCTCATAGCTTCCAAAAGAGCATATGTCCTAGATGCACCGCTAGGTGAAGCACCCGTTTTCCCAGCAACTCAAGACGTTATGAACGCCTGGCAGTTGCGTAGTGATAATTACTCCCTGGTTCAGTGCGGCATGCTTTATAGCTTAGAACCGGGGATCCAAAAGCATTTTGAGCAGCACGGAGCATATGAGATGTTCCAAGAGCTGAAAATGGTTTTCCAAGCTCATGCCTGGGTCGAGATATATGAAGTCTCCGACAAGTTCTACAGTTGTAAGATGGAGGAGAATAGTTCTGTCAACGAGCACATACTCAAAATGTCTAGGTTGCACAACCGCTTGTCTCAGCTGGGAGTTAACCTCCTGGATGACGCGGTCATTGACAGAATCCTTTAGTCGCTCCCACCTAGCTACAAGAGCTTTGTGATGAACTACAATATGCAGGGGATGGTGAAAACCATGCCTGAGGTATTTTCAATGCTGAAATCAGCGGAGGTGGAGATCAAAAAGGAACATCAAGTGTTGATGGTCAATAAAACCACTAGTTTCAAGAAAGGCATGGGTAAGAAGAACTTCAAGAAGGACGGCAAGGGAGTTGCCACGCCCGGTAAGCCAGTTGACAGGAAGAAGCCAAAGCACGGACCCACACCTGAGACTGAGTGCTTTTATTGCAAGGGAAACGGTCACTGGAAGCGGAACTGCCCCAAGTACTTAGAGGACAAGAAGGCGGCAACACCAAAGGTATATGTGATATACATGTTATTGATGTGTACCTCACCAGTACTCGTAGTAGCTCCTGGGTATTTGATACCGGTGCGGTTGCTCATATTTGTAACTCAAAACAGGAGCTGCGGAATAAGCGGAGACTGGCGAAGTATGAGGTGACGATGCGCGTTGGGAATGGTTCCAAGGTCGATGTGATCACCGTCGGCATGCTACCTCTACATTTACCTACAGGATTAGTTTTAAACCTCAATAATTGTTATTTAGTGCCAGCTTTGAGCATGAACATTGTATCTGGATCTCGTTTAATGCGAGATGGCTACTCATTTAAATCCAAGAATAATGGTTGTTCTATTTATATGGGAGATATGTTTTATGGTCATGCCCCGCTGGTCAATGGTTTATTCTTAATGAATCTCGAACGTGATGTTATACATATTCATAGTGTGAATACCAAATGATGTAAGATTGATAATGATAGTCCCACATACCTGCGGCAGTGCCGCCTTGGTCACATTGGTGTCAAATGCATGAAGAAGCTCCATGTAGATGGACTTTTGGAGTCGCTTGATTACGAATCATTTGACACGTGCGAACCATGCCTCATGGACAAAATGACCAAGACTTTGTTCTCTGGAACAATGGAGCGAGCAACCAACTTATTGGAAATTATACATACTGATGTGTGCGGTCCAATGAGCGTTGAGGCTCGCGGTGGCTATCATTATGTTCTCACCCTCACTGTTGACTTAAGTAGATATGGGTATGTCTACTTGATGAAACACAAATCTGAGACCTTTGAAAAGTTCAAGGAATTTCGGAATGAGGTGGAGAATCAACGTGACAAAAAAATAAAGTTCTTGCGACCAGATCATGGGGGAGAATATTTAAGTCACGAGTTTGGTACGCACTTAAGGAAATGTGGAATTGTTTCACAACACACGCCACCTGGAACACCTCAGCGCAATGGTGTGTCCAAACGTCGTAATCGCACTCTATTGGATATGGTGCGATCTATGATGTCTCGTATCGATTTACCGCTATCATTTTGAGGATACGCTTTAGAGACAGCTACATTCACTTTAAATAGGGCACCGTCTAAATCCGTTGAGACGACACCGTATGAATTATGGTTTGGGAAGAAACCTAAGCTGTCGTTTCTAAAAGTTTGGGGATGCGATGCTTATGTCAAGAAACTTCAACCTGAAAAGCTCGAACCCAAGTCGGAAAAATGCGTCTTCATAGGATACCCTAAGGAAACCATTGGGTATACCTTCTACCTCAGATCCGAAGGTGAGATCTTCGTTGCCAAGAATGGGTCCTTTCTGGAGAAAGAGTTTCTCTCGAAAGAAGTAAGTGGGAGGAAAGTGAAACTTGATGAAGTACTACCTCTTGAACCGGAAAGTAGCGCAGCTCAGGAAAATGTTCCTGTGGTGCCTGCACCGACTAGAGAGGAAGTTAATGATGATGATCAAGGTACTTTGGATCAAGTTGCTACTGAACTTCGTAGGTCCACAAGGACACGTTCCACACCAGAATGGTATGGCAACCCTGTCCTGGAAATCATGTTGTTAGACAATGGTGAACCTTCGAACTATGAAGAAGCTATGGCGGGCCCATACTCCAAAAATGGCTTGAAGCCATGCAATCCGAGATAGGATCCATGTATGAAAATAAAGTATGGACTTTGACATACTTGCCCGATGATTGGCGAGCGATAGAAAATAAATGAATCTTTAAGAAGAAGACAAACGCGGATGGTAATGTTACCATCTATAAAGCTTGACTTGTCGCTAAGGTTTATCGACAAGTTCAAGGGGTTGACTACGATGAGACTTTCTCACCCGTAGAGAAGTTGAAGTCTGTCCGAATCATGTTAGCAATTGCCGCATTCTATGATTATGAGATATGGCAAATGGACGTCAAAACGGCATTACTTAACGGCTATCTTAAGGAAGAGTTGTATATGATGAAAGCGGAAGGTTTTGTCGATCCTAAGAATGCTAACAAGGTATGCAAGCTCCAGCGCTCCATCTATGGGCTGGTGCAAGCATCTCAGGGTTGGAACATTTGCTTTGATGAAATGATCAAAGCGTTTGGGTTTATGCAGACTTATGGAGAAGCCTGCGTATACAAGAAAGTGAGTGGGAGCTCTGTAGCATTCCTCATATTATATGTGGATGACATATTGTTGATGGGAAATGATATAGAACTTTTGGACAGCATAAAGGCCTACTTGAATAAGTGTTTTTCAGTGAAGGACCTTGGAGAAGCTGCTTATATATTAGGCATCAAGATCTATAGAGATAGATCGAGACGCCTCATAGGTCTTTCACAAAGCACATACCTTGATAAGATATTGAAGAAGTTCAGTATGGATCAATCCAAGAAGGGGTTCTTGCCTGTGTTGCAAGGTGTGAAATTGAGCTCGGCTCAATGCCCGACCACGGCAGAAGATAGAGAAAAGATGAGTGTCATCCCATATGCCTCGGCCATAGGGTCTATTATGTATGCCATGCTGTGTACCAGACCTGATGTAAACCTTGCCGTAAGTTTGGTAGCAAGGTACCAAAGTAATCCTGGCATGGAACACTAGACAACGGTCAAGAATATCCTGAAGTACCTGAAAAGGACTAAGGATATATTTCTCGTTTATGAAGGTGACGAAGAGATCATCGTAAAGGGTTACGTTGATGCTAGCTTCGACACAGATCTGGATGACTCCAAGTCACAAACCGGATACGTGTATATTTTGAATGTTGGGACAGTAAGCTGGTGCAGTAGCAAGCAAAGCGTCGTGGCGGGATCTACAAGTGAAGCGGAGTACATGGCAGCCTCGAAGGCAGCACATGAAGCAATATGGATGAAGGAGTTCATTACCGACCTAGGAGTTATTTCCAAATGAGTCGGGGCCGATGACTCTCTTCTATGACAACACTGGAGCTATTGCCCTTGCCAAGGAGCCCAGGTTTCACAAGAAGACCAGGCACATCAAGCGTTGCTTCAACTCCATTCGTGAAAATGTTCAAGATGGAGACATAGATATTTGCAAAGTGCATACGGATCTGGATGCCGCAGATCCGCTGACTAAACCTCTTCCGCGAGCAAAACATGATCAACACCAGAACTCTATGGGTGTTCGATTCATCACAGTGTAACTAGATTATTGGCTCTAGTGCAAGTGGGAGACTGTTGGAAATATGCCCTAGAGGCAATAATAAAATGATTATTATTATATTTCCTTGTTCATGATAATTGTCTATTGTTCATGCTATAATTGTATTAACTGGAAACCGTGATACATGTGTGAATACATAGACCACAACATGTCCCTAGTAAGCCTCTAGTTGACTAGCTCGTTGATCAACAGATGGTCATGGTTTCCTGACTATGGACATTGGATGTCATTAATAACGGGATCACATCATTAGGAGAATGATGTGATGGACAAGACCCAATCCTAAGCATAGCACAAGATCGTGTAGTTCGTTTGCTAAAGCTTTTCTAATGTCAAGTATCATTTCCTTAGACCATGAGATCATGCAACTCCCGGATACCGTAGGAGTGCTTTGGGTGTACCAAACGTCACAACGTAACTGGGTGACTATAAAGGTTCTCTACAGGTATCTCCAAAAGTATTTGTTGGGTTGGCACGAACCGAGACTGGGATTTGTCACTCTGTATGACGGAGAGGTATCTCTGGGCCCACTCAGTAATGCATCATCATAATGAGCTCAATGTGACTAAGTGGTTAGTCACGGGATCATGCATTACGGAATGAGTAAAGTGACTTGCCGGTAACGAGGTTGAACGAGGTATTGGGATACCGACGATCGAATCTCGGGCAAGTAACATACAGATTGACAAAGGTAATTGTATACGGGATTACTTGAATCCTCGACATCGTGGTTCGTCTGATGACATCATCGTGGAACATGTGGGAGCCAACATGGGTATCCAGATCCTGCTATTGGTTATTGGTCGGAGAGCTATCTCGGTCATGTCTGCGTGATTCCCGAACCCGTAGGGTCTACACACTTAAGGTTCGATGACGCTAGGGTTATAAGGAAGATTTGTATGTGATTACCGAATGTCATTTCGAGTCCCGGATGAGATCCTGGATGTCACTAGGAGTTTCAGAATGGTCCGGAGGTGAAGATTTATATATGGGAAGTCATCATACAGTCGCAGGAAATGTTCGGAGGTATACTGATATTGTACCGGGACCACCGGAGGGGTTCCGGGGGTCCACCGGGAGGGGCCACCTGTCCGGGAGGGCCTCATGGGCTGTAGGTGGAAGGGAACCAGCCCCTAAGAGGGCTGGGCGCCACCCCCCTAGGGCCCATGCGCCTAGGGTTGGGGGGAACCCTAAGGGGGTGCCCCCCTTGCTTGGGGGGCAAGCCCCCTCCCCCTTGGCCGCCGCCCCCCCTCTAGATCCCATCTAGAGGGGCCGGCCCCCTTCCCCCTTCTCCCTATAAATAGAGGGGTGAGGGGAGGGCTGCAGCACCACATCCAAGGTGCAGCCCCTCCCCTCCCCAACACCTCTCCCCCTCCACGCGAGCTTGGCGAAGCCCTGCCGGAGAACTGCCACTCCACCACCACCATGCCGTCGTGCTACTGTTGGTGCCATCTTCCTCAACCTCTCCCTCCTCCTTGCTGGATCAAGGCGCGGGAGACGTCACCGGGCTGCACGTGTGTTAAACGCGGAGGTGCCGTTGTTCGGCGCTAAGATCGGAATCCACCATGATCTGAATTGCTTCGAGTACGACTCCTTCATCCGCGTTCTTGCAACACTTCCGTCTCGCGATCTTCAAGGGTATGAAGATGCACTCCCCTCTCTCTCGTTGCTAGTTACTCCATAGATTGATCTTGGTGATGCGTAGAATTTTTTTAATTTCTACAACGATCCCCAACACCCGTCTAACGCCACCATGTGGCCACTATTCAGACCACCCGCATCGGTGGTTGCAATGGTCAGTGACGCGATCGATGAGGTCAACTGGACCTAGAAACATGACCTTGTCCACGCTACCTTTATTGCGCCGGATGCGGAGGCCATATTGAACATTCCACTACGTCAGGGCGGTGGAGATGATTTCTTTGCGTGGGCACACGAGAGGTCCGGTATCTACTCTGTTAAATCAGCCCATCAAGCTCTAATGAACCAAAAAGAGCGTTTAGCTCTTGAAGAGGGGCAGATAGCGACGCCATCAATGAGTGAACAGCAGATGTGGAGCCAACTATGGAAACTCAAAGTTGTCCAAAAGTAAGGGTATTTTGTGGTGAGTACTTAAGGGGATCATCCCCGATGAGTGCACTCTCCACCACAGACATATCAAAGATACCAGCTTATGCAAATTGTGTCTTGCTATGGACGAAGACTTGATGCATGCATTAGTGCATTGTTCCCATGCACGAAGCTTCTGGGAGGAGGCAAGATTACTATTCGAGATCAGCTTGCCTCGGCTCCACCCCAATACTTGGGCGCGCGACATCCTCTGTGAATCACGATTTACTGACAAGGATCGTGCTACGATCATCACAGTCATGTGGGCAATCTGGATGTCCCACAACAGAAGGACGCATGACCAAGAAGCCATTGGTCTTGCTAGCTCGGTTCGTCGCATCCGCGAAGACCTAGCACTGCTTGACATACCCCGTCAGAGTTTCATACCATTACCGGGTCATGGATGGCGACCCCCCGAAGATTCTCATATCAAAATTAACACAGATGCGGCAATACAGTTTGATGTTGGCTCGACCGGATTGGGGGGTGTTGCTCGTTCCTCCTCGACCTTCCTAGGTGCATGGTGCAAACCCCAATCGAGGACTACGGATCCATTCATTGCTGAGGTGCTCGCGCTACGCGAAGGAGTCATCTTTGCCAAGCTTCGAGGCTTTTTGCACGGCAACTGGAATCCGACTGTCTTGAGGCAGTAAACCTCTGGAACCTTGGCTACATCGATCGGTCGATAGTAGCACCAATAGTTGCTGAAATTAGAGAGCTCTCTGCTAGCTTTTTGTCTTTCAATATTTCTCATGTAATAAGAGCCGCTAACGGTCCTGCACACTTGTGTGCTAAGCGTACCTATACGCTTACTGTGACTGAAAGCTGGCTGGACACCACCCCTAACTTCCTGGTCAGCAGCCTCCTGACTGATTGCCCAGCGAATGCCTTTACTTAATAAAGCTCTCTGAAGTTCCCCGGAAAAAAAATACCTCGTCACCCCTCACAATTTTGGATTTTTAACGTAACGTGGGTCAACAAAGAAAAACAGACAAAAAAAACAACCAAGGGCCATAAACAAATACTCCTACTTAGATGGGACATATTATCTCATATCTAGGTGAGACATACACACATTCTAGAATAAAACGTTCTCGCGGAACGTTCTGTTCGTTTGGCGTACCTACACAGCTGTCGTTCCCAGTTATTGGGGTCTAAAGTATATTGATTCTTTCCTAATATATTTTTTGCCGAGATTCTTTCCTAATAAAAAATACTTTTTCTTTAAGTATATTATATATACTCCGTACTACGTACGTGTTTGGCTCTATCTACAAATACAACGTACTTATTTGACCTCCTATGCGGCGCCCCTCGCATCAAACGGACCAGAGGCATGCAGCCAGATCGAACGGTCACCGCGCCGCACGGTAAGACAGCGGTTGGTGCGTGTGCTCGATATATTTCCCGAAGAATAATATCGGAAACGAATTATTTCTGAATTTCTTTTCTTTTTCTGTTTTTCGGTAGTTAGTTGAGATAATATCGGAAACGAATTACAATCCTCTCGTAACTCGTCTATATTCACTCGTCAAATCCCAGCCTTTGCCAGCACTCGCGTCCAAGTTCCAATCCCAATTGCGTGCGCAGCGATGGCGGCTGGGGAGCCGCAGCAGGGCCGGCGGTACTGGCGGTGGAGCAAAGCCGATTTTTTCCCGGAGCCCTCGTTCCAGAGCTGGCGCGCGTACGGCGGCGCGCTCGCGGCCACCGTGCCGCGCCTGCGCGACCGCGTGGCCGCCCGGTCCTCCGAGGCCGTCGAGGCGGGGACGCTGCTCGCCGAGAGCGAGAACCCGCTGCGCCGCTGCCTCTCCTGGGTCGACCTCGCCTTCCTCGGCTTCGGCTCCGTCGTCGGCTCCGGCGTCTTCGTGCTCACCGGCCAGGAGGCCCGCTTCGACGCGGGTCCCGCCATCCCGCTCGCCTACGCCGCCGCGGGCTTCTCCGCCCTGCTCTCGTCCTTCTGCTACGCGGAGCTCGCCACTGAGATCCCATCTGCCGGGGGGTCCTTCTCGTACCTGCGGGTCGAGCTCGGCGACATGGCGGCGTTCCTCGCCGCCGGGAACATACTGCTGGAGGCCGTCGTGGGGGCGGCCGGCCTCGGGCGCTCCTGGACGTCCTACCTCGCCGCGCTCTTCGGGCTCGACACCGACGCGCTCCGCATCCACGTCCCGGCGCTCGCTGAAGGTTTCAATCTGCTCGATCCCATCGCCGTCGTCGTCCTCATCTGCACCTCCGCCCTGGCCATGTCCGGCGCGCGCCTCACCTCCACCATCAACTCGCTGGCGTCCGTGATCGGCATCGTCATAATCGCCTTCGTCGTCGGCGCGGGTTTCTCGCACTTCCACTCCAGCAACCTCGTCGAGCCGACCTTCTTCCCCTTCGGGGCCGCCGGCGTGTTCCGCGCGGCAGCGGTGGTGTACTGGTCCTACACGGGCTTCGACATGGTGGCCACCATGGCGGAGGAGACCAAGAACCCCGGCCGGGACGTGCCGCTCGGCCTCCTGTCTTCCATGTCGGCCATCACCGTGGTGTACTGCGCCATGTCCCTGGCGCTGGTCGGCATGCAGCGGTACAGCGAGATCGACCCCAACGCCGCCTACTCCGTGGCGTTCGCCGCGACCGGGCTCAAGTGGGCGCGCTACGTCGTGGCGCTCGGCGCGCTCAAGGGCATGACGAGCGGCCTCCTGGTGGGCGCGCTGGGGCAGGCGCGGTACACCACGCAGATCGCGCGCACGCACATGATCCCGCCATACTTCGCGCTCGTGCACCCCAGGACCGGCACGCCCGTGTACGCCACCATGGCCGTCACGCTCGGCGCCGCCTGCGTCGCGCTCTTCTCGAGCCTGGACGTGCTCGCCTCCGTCTCCTCCATCAGCACGCTCTTCATCTTCGCCCTGGTCGCAGTCGCGCTCCTCGTCCGCCGGTACTACGTCGCCGGGAAGACCCCGGCCAAGCAGCTGCGCACCTTTCTCGCCTTCCTGGCGCTGGTGGTCCTGTCGTCCATCGGGCTCTCGGCGTACTACAACTCGCGCTACGCCAGGCGGTGGCCGGGGTACGCGGTGTTCGGCGTGGGCTGGGCGGCCGGCGCGGCGGGGCTGGCGCTGGCAGCGAAGCAGCAGCGGCAGCCCAAGGTGTACGGCGTGCCGCTCATGCCGTGGCTGCCGGCCATGTCCGTGGCCACCAACCTGTTCCTGATGGGCTCGCTCGGGTCCATGGCCTACCTGCGCTTCGGCATCTGCACGGTGGCGATGCTCGTGTACTACGTGCTCTTCGGCGTGCACGCGACGTACGACGTGGCGCACTCTGCGACGGCGGCCGACGTCGTGGCCGAGAATGTCGAGCAGGGGAAGATTGTGCCAGGGTCCACGCTGCCGGCATGAGACAGTGAGAGTGGTTTCTAGTTGGAGTAAGTCATATTGCCATGTCGGTCTGTGAACTTTTAGGCTATATTTGGTGGCTGGTTACTCGAATTGGTAGCATAGTTAGTTGGGACAAAGATTCCAGAGTCAGATTTTTTTTTCACTCCATGAGCAGAGCTAGTTCCATGGCTAGTACAGTACTCTCTCCATCCCAAAATAAGTATCATTGATTTAGACAACTTTGGGTGATGGAGAGAATATAATTTGTCATGATTTCTGTACAAGCTAAAACATTTTTTATTCAATTGTGCACCCCTGTTATCTATCATCAAAATGAACGTCGTTGTTACAGTATTTTTCAGCTGTGACGTCGTATTCTTTTGAAAAGATTTCCTGAAATCATGCCTTTCAGCATGATAAAAAGGCTGAAAGCCGTGTTTCATAAAGCAGTACTGTAAGTAGTACTATGTCAGCGCACTCACTACAGATTGGCAGGAAATTCCAAACAATGGCACACATGTTTTCACACAGATTATGTATTCAATCGCAACGTGGTACAAGAACAGAGCACGTGCTCCTCGCTTCCATGACTCCATCCGAACTTTCACTTGATTCTGCACCAGTACAAGGAAGAAAAGAAACAAGATTTAACTCACTCTGAAATGACTCCTCTTCACTCTATGTTGTTGTTCATCATCAACTTCTAGTGTGTTCTTTCTCGTCCGGTGCTAAATGATCTCTATGCTGTGCAAAATATGTTGGATTGTTTCCCTGCAAGAAAACGAGAGACTAGAATATGTTGGATTGTTGAATGTTGATGATTCTTAGATAATTTTGTGGATGTTTTCCTTTTTTTTTTGCCCCAATAGAGTACCAGATTAGATATCATGATTCTAAAAAAAAATACGAAAACACTAACGCCCACACGTGTAGCAACATTGCAACTCGTCCACACGCATGGATCACCGTCCAGATAAGTTTACACGAATCTTGACACACGGAGGCAGTTTTTACGTGCCACATAGGACAAGGCCGGTGTGTGGGCGTTGTAGAGGTCGTCCACACGCCCCACAGCACGTGGTTGCCAGCTGCACTGTGTGGGCGAACTAGTTTCTGCCCACACAGCCACCACCTAGTGCACGCGCGTGTGGGCGAGCTATTTTTCGCCCACGCGACAGTCGTATATTGTTGGATGGCAACTGCAGTTGCGCGTACATGACAACTAGGTAAACACACATGGCAACTATGATTCGTTTGCTAGACGGCAACTGCAGTTGCGCATACGTGGCAATCAGATAAACATACATGACAACTGTGATTAATCACACGTGGCAACTAGGTAAACACACATGACAACTATTGTTTGACCATATGTGGCAAGTAGTTAATCACACACGACAACTATGGTTTGATTACACGCGACAACTATCATCAATTAGACATGACAACTATAGTTAACCAAAACAGAGAGAGTTGACATGCTTTTACAACCATATTTGTCATCCCGGATAACTACATCTGCCATCTCAGATGGCAACTAAATCGTCATCCCGCGGGTATCTATTGTAGCTGCGCCACGACATGTGGCATATTTGCTTCGTGCCACACTTGCAGGGTGGGGATGAGTACTATTTTTTGGGCGTGTGACACGAAGTAGCTGCGCCCACACGTGAATTCTACTGTTCGCCCACACACAGCCCATGTGGGCTGCCCCTCGCTCATGGCACACACGGTGTGTGGGCGATGCCTATTATGCCACACGTGTGATGGATATTGGCGTCCAAAAAATATTAGTCCTTCTGTTACCAGCTAAGGAGTAAATTATGGTGCACTCTGTTTGCATTGATGCAGACAATGTTGGATTATGGATGGGCTTAGGCCCATACAAGACAATAATCCCTGGTTAATCTCTAAGGCCCAATAATGTGTACGGCAAGTGGTGGGAAATGTGGGAAGTTTAGTACCATACTGCTGCAGTAAGAAGAGTGATGCCTCTTTATCAGGGCTGCTCCACCACTTGCTATTGAGGGCTTGGGAATAGGAGTTGTACACACGCGCTCCTCCTCCGCCGCCGCACGCCTCGCCTCGCCACGCCACGCCACGACGCGCGCCGCGGGGTGCTTATTTTTGCCGGTCAAGAATTGTTAATTAAACACGGAATTAATTAACGAGTCGCCGAGACGTTGGACTGTGGGCTGTTCGCGGACTCGGTCGTGGGCCTAAGCCCAGGCCCATCAACCTGACGGTCTATAAAAGAACTAAGTTCACTCACTCCCTCTCGCACAACCCTAGCTGTCATCTATTATTCCTCTCTTTGTGTGCTGCTTCCAGTGATCCTTCATCCATCTCTGCTTCCTCTACATTGACTCCATGGCTGACGATGAAGTGGCCAAGAAGAAGGCCTTGGCTGACGCCTAGGCTGCTGTTGCCGCCGCCGCTTTGGCCTGGCCAACCAGACAGTATGACTCGTTCATCCCCTTTCTGCTCGTACATGTGCTAGCCATATATATGTTATCCATAGATGTTTCAGTTCTATGTACTGTACGTGCTAGCATGCTTAGGTATCAGTATGAGATGCATACCATATTTGCCATGTTTACTGTTTACTCGTGGATTAGATTAGTCAAAAAGTGTTAATATTTCTAACAATCCAAAAACCTTATTTTAGGCACTTTTCGACTCTTGGCTTCGCCGCTACTCTGAAACTGGAAAAGTTTACTAGGACACACTTTAAGCGTTGGCAGAGCAGGACCACCTTGTGGCTCACAACAATGAACGTGTTCTGGGTTGGTGGTGTGTCTCCCACGATAATGATTGCTCCTGAACAGGAGAATGCGTTTAGGGAGGCAACCACCATCTTTGTGGGAGTCATTCTAAAGTGATCGGAGACAAGCTGGTGGACACGTATCTCCATATGCGTGTTGCCAAGAATTTGTGGGATGCGCTCGAAGCTAAGTTCGGCGCAACCGATGCTGGATACGAGTGGTATGCTATGGAGCAGTTCTATGATTACACAATGGTTTATAATTGTTCTGTATTGGACCAGGCCCATGAGATACAATGCTTCGCTAAGGAGTTGGAGCTCCTGAAATGTGAGTTACCGGATTAGTTTGTCGCGGGTTGCATTATTGCAAAACTCTCTCTTGGATGGTGGAACTTTGTGTTGGGGATCGTTGCAGAAATTAAAAAAAATTCTACGCATCATCAAGATCAATCTATGGAGTAACTAGCAATGAGAGAGAGGGGAGTGCATCTTCATACCCTTGAAGATCACGAGACGGAAGCATTACAAGAACGCAGATGAAGGTGTCGTACTCGTAGCGATTCAGATCGCGGTGGATTCTGATCTTAGCGCCGAACAACGGCACCTCCGTGTTCAACACACGTGCAGCCCGGTGACGTCTCCCGCACCTTGATCAAGCAAGGAGGAGGGAGAGGTTGAGGAATATGGCTCCAGCAGCAGCACGACGACGTGGTCGTGATGGAGTGGCAGTTCTCCGGCAGGGCTTTCCCAAGCTCGCGCGGAGGGGGAGAGGTGTTGGGGAGGGGAGGGGTTGTGCCTTGGATGTGGTGTTGCAGCCCTCCCTTCACCCCTCTATTTATAGGGAGAAGGGGGAAGGGGCACGGCCCCTCTAGATGAGATCTAGAGGGGGGCGGCGGCCAAGGGGGAGGGGGCTTGCCCCCCAAGCAAGGGGGGCGCCCCCTTTAGGGTCCCCCCCCCCCAACCCTGGCGCATGGGCTCTAGGGGGAATGGCGCCCAGCCCACTTAGGGGCTGGTTCCCTTCCACCTACAACCCATAAGGCCCTCCGGGGCAGGTGGACCTTCCCGGTGGACCCCCGGAACCCCTTCGGTGGTCCTGGTACAATACCGGTATACCCCCGAATATTTCCGGTGACCGTATGATGACTTCCCATATATAAATCTTCACCTCCGGACCATTCCGGAACTCCTCGTGACGTCCGGGATATCATCCGGGACTCCGAACAACATTCGGTAATCACACACAAATCTTCCCTATAACCCTAGCGTCATCGAACCTTAAGTGTGTAGACCCTACGGGTTCGGGAATCATGCATACATGACCGAGACAGCTCTCCAGCCAATAACCAACAGCGGGATCTAGATAACCATGTTGGCTCCCACATGTTCCATGATGATCTCATCGAATGAACCATGATGTCGAGGATTCAAGCAATCCCGTATACAATTCCCTTTGTCAATCGGTACGTTACTTGCCCGAGATTCGAGCGTCGGTATCCCAATACCTCGTTCAATCTCGTTACCGGCAAGTCACTTTACTCGTTCTGTAATGCATGATCTCGTGACTAACCACTTAGTCACATTGAGCTCATTATGATGATGCATCACCGAGTGGGCCCAGAGATACCTCTCCGTCATACGGAGTGACAAATCCCAGTCTTGATTCGTGCCAACCCAACAGACACTTTCGGAGATACCTGTAGTGCACCTTTATAGTCACCAAGTTACATTGTGACGTTTGGTACACCCAAAGCACTCCTACGGTATCCGGGAGTTACACAATCTCATGGTCTAAGGAAATGATACTTGACATTAGAAAAGCTTTAGCAAACGAACTACACGATCTTGTGCTATGCTTAGGATTGGGTCTTGTCCATCACATCATTATCCTAATGATGTGATCTCGTTATCAATGACATCCAATGTCCATAGTCAGGAAACCATGACCATCTGTTGATCAATGAGCTAGTCAACTAGAGGCTTACTAGGGACATGTTGTGGTCTACGTATTCACACATGTATCATGGTTTCCGATTAATATAATTATAGCATGAATAGTAGACAATTATCATGAACAAGGAAATATAATAATAACCATTTTATTATTGCCTCTAGGGCATATTACCAATAGTCTCCCACTTGCACTAGAGTCAATAATCTAGTTACATCGTGATGAATCGAACACCCATAGAGTTCAGGTGTTGATCATGTTTTGCCCATGGAAGAGGTTTAGCCAACGGATCTGCGACATTCAGATCCA